TATATGCAGCCTCATCCATGTTATTTACCTCCAGGAGATAACAGGATTTGCAAGCTTGTTAAGAGTCTCTATGGTCTTAAACAAGCTTCTAGGCAATGGTTTTGTAAGCTTTCTGACTCTTTAAAATCTTTTGGTTATAAACAGTCTCAGGCAGATTTCTCTTTATTCATCAAGATTACTAAAAATTCTTTTACTGTTCTTTTAATATATGTTGATGATATCATTCTTGCTGGAAACGGTACGGAAGAAATCAATGATGTAAAATTTTTTTTAAACAACAAATTTACTATTAAAGATATTGGTGAGTTAAAATACATTTTAGGAATTGAAATCGCTAGATCTGATAAAGGTATAAATTTGTGTCAAAGAAAATACATTTTAGACATTCTAACTGAATATGAATATCTTCATTCTAAACCTTATACTACTCCCATGGACTCAAAAATTAAACTATCTAAAAATGATGGAAATGTTTTAGAAAATCCTAAAATTTATAGAACTCTAATTGGTAAGTTGCTTTATTTAACTGTAACTAGGCCTGATATTGCTTATAGTGTACAAGTTCTTAGTCAATTTCTTGCTTCTCCCACTAATGTTCATTTAAGTGCAGCTCATAGAGTTTTGAGATACCTTAAGAATTCACCAGGTAAAGGTTTATTTTACCCAAGCATTTATGAGTTTTCTATTCAAGGATACACTGATTCTGACTGGGCTGCTTGTATAGATACTAGGAGAAGTGATTCAGGTTATGCTTTTTACCTTGGTAACTCTTTGATTTCCTGGAAATCTAAAAAGCAACAGGTTGTCAGTAGATCCTCTACTGAAGCTGAGTATAGGGCTGCTGCTAATGTAATTTGTGAGGCTCAATGGTTATCTTACATTTTTATTGATTTACATATACCTATTTCTTTACCTATAATTATTTATACTGACAATAAATCTACTTACCATCTTGCTCATAATCCAATACAACATCAAAGAACAAAACATATAGAATTGGATTGCCATTTAGTTAGAGAAAAGATTAATTCTGGATTAATTACACTGCTTCATATTAAAATTAGTTTTCAACTTGCAGATATATACACAAAACCACTTGGAAATCCCTTGTTTAGTCAATTTTCAGTCAAGATGAACATGCAAGACATTCACGCTCATCTTGAGGGGGCATATCAAGAATAATACACTGGACTGCTTGGCTTGCATTGGACTGATTTTCTTCAGCTTTTAGGCCTATCTTATATTTTATTGGGCCTTTAGTTATCTGTTGTTATTTTTTATGTATTAGGTATAAATACCTAAGGTTTGTTGTAATTAGGTCAAGCATTCATTTTATTCAATTCTTCTTCTTCCGCATTCTTCATCGAAAAGGCTCTGAATATACGAAATCATCTTCTTCATTTTTGATTCCTGAATTCAAACTTTCACAAAGTTCACAATAAACTTTAATAGTTTCGTTTGATTCTTATCATTTTTTCTTGATTAATTATATTTCAGTTTAAGTATTTTATGTTCGAATTAATTTAGGTTGCCTTTTTTCTTATCTTGTAGATGCACGAAACTTTTAAGTGACATCTCACGTCTAGAGTCATTTAGGCGATCATTTTTGTCTTTTAAAATATTAATTTTTATATTAAAATATACACATTTAATAAAGCGGTCACCCGTGGTTACCCGCGGTTATACCCGTTACTTGTTGGGGCGGTTATGGTTTGGATACAAATGACTCGTTAGGTAATAGGATGGTTACGGGGCGCCGGGGCGGGGACGTTACCCAACGGGGCGGGTACGGTTATATGCATAGCCGTCCCCGATCAGCCCCATTGCCATCTCTGATGACGGCCTCGTTGAGGACGGCGATGGTCTGAGTGAGGACGGCAGCGGCCTAGCAATCTATCGTTCTCCTTGTGTTTTCTTCATCGAAGTTGTTCAGAGGGGCCGTTGCCATCAACGGTGGAGCGTTGCTGTCATTGGAGGAGCTGATGTTGCTGATCGATGAGCTCATTGATTGGCAAAGGCAAACTTCTTCATCGGCAAGGTTGGCAACACTATCGCGGTGGACCACAAGTAGCAAGGATCTCGCACTAGCGGCGAGAAGCTTGGAGCACCGCAAGATCCACCGGTCACCTCCGATATCATCTTCTTATTGTTTCTTCTGTCCGAAATCCGCAGATCTGTGGTTGTGATTGTGCGAATCTAACGACGACCATGTCTTAGGCCGTGAGTTGTAAGTTTGTAACCTGTAGGGGTCGGGACAAAGAGTTACAATTCACGGGGGTAGGGCAAGATTGGTGGGGGTTGCGGAAGGTAGTGCGAGTGGTGGAAGAGCGGCTAACTGCCCGGGTGGGGGTGGTCACCACCGGGGTAGTGGTGAGTGGGGAGTCACTGTCGGTGGCAGTGACTAGCCACGGTGATGGTGATGACTGGATGGGACGGTTGTATCGACTTGTCGTGTGGCAGTAGCGACTCACCGGGGCGGCAGTGATTGGTTGGTAGTGACTAGCTCAGGCGGTGGAAAAGGTTGAAAATTAGGTCACTGATGGGTGTTAGATGGGTGTAACTGTAACTGCTCGGCGGTACTCACTAGGGCTGTGGTCACTAGATAAGAGTACGTCACCGTGGGAATTGATCACTGTGTCAATTGATTAGTAGACAGGAGTCACTATGTCAATTGGTCACTCGGCAGAGGTCATTGTAGGGTTAGTAATTGTAGCGGGTAAGTTGATTTAATAATTGTTAGATGATCTCGTTACCCTTCTTTAATACTTTCTCTGTCCCATAAAATTCTTCAAAATTTTCATTTTTGGATGTCCTAAAATTCTTCTCACTAACTATTCTTGGAAAGTTTTATGTGACTCACATTCATGCATCTTTCTCATATTCAATCAATATCATATATTTCTATTATATTGTCACTTTCTTAATATGCGTGTCAAGTCAAAGTGAGATGTATTTTTTTGGGACGGAGAAAGTAACAATTTTGGAAATTAAAAAAGAAATGTCATATTTTTATCCAATTTTTATTTTTTACTAATATTTGTGACAATCCCAATTACCTATTTTCACCGAACGAAGTTTAAAAATTCCGTGTATTAGACAAATCAACTTTTATTTTAATTTAATATTATTACGTGTGAAGTACTTGTATAAAAGTTTAACAAAATCTCTCTAGGGTTGTCGTTTAGGTATTTGTCCGGTGGTGTTTCGTTCAGGCGAGCACGACACCGAGATCCTCTGTTATTGGCAGCAGGCGTGGAGGGCACAGTGAGAACTCTCACAGGGTAGCAACATGACCATTCTATCGTGGAATTGTAGAGGACTGATGATTGGGACAGAGGAAGAAGAACTGGATCTAGATGAAGCTGATGTTGAGGGTGTGGCGGATGAGCGACGGACGCGTCCCCCTCATTAGCCGCCGCCATGGAGTGCAAGCAAATCTAGGATTTGGAAGAAGATGGGTGAACTATATTTTAATTGCGTTTTATTCAGTTTATGTTTTTCTGTCGAATTGCATTTTGTTTTGGACGTGTTCTTGTTTCCTAGCAGAGAAAATCTTAAATTTAGGTTAAGTGATGAGAAGTTTGATTTGTTAGTCAGTGACTCAGTTATGCCCATTACAAAATTTGCGAATGTTATTGCTTTTATAGAGGTGATAGATTCTCAGTCTGTTTTAAGGGTGGATGACAGACATAAGACTTTTTATCGTTTTGTTTACTACTTTTTTTTGTATTATGAGCCAGGCAACGAATGTTATTTTGATTTAATATATTAGTTGGGTTTGATAATCAAAAACTTGGTGTATTAAAAAAAATACGTGAAGAAAATTGGTGTATTCACTATTGAGCACACGGTATCTACGTGAAGAAAAAATATCTATTCCACAACGTACGAAAACGTGTGTTGATCTCACCCACAATCCTATCCTATAATAAAAATCCTACGTAGTATAAATCAAGAAACTCAATAATTCTTTCCCTCACATTCAAGAATCAAGAACCGTCTCTAATAGCTTAACCACTTTTTTCATTTCTGTATCAGAAAGCAGCAAAAAACATCTTGTTTCTGAAATTCATGGATTCGCGTACCCACAATGAAGGCAGTGGTGGTGCCAAGGCCGGCGCTACGGCGGGCCACCACCCGGCTCCGTCTAAATCCGAGCTGCTGTCCAGCGCGAAGGTGCTAAGGGAAGCGGCCAAAGGGATGTTCGGCAACAACCCGAGCAAGACGGACAAGGCGGAGCTATCCGCCGCCGCCGCGGATCTTCTCAACGCGGCGTCGCAATACGGGAACCTGGATGGGAAGGCGATGGGCAAATACGTCGAGAAAGCAGAGGATTATCTCCACAAGTACAGCACTTCCCATTCCACCACCGCGGCAGCACCGAGCCACCACTCTCCCGCCGCCGGACAAGGGCATTCGTCGGGGAGTTCCGGCGGTGGGTACGGGGAGTATATAAAGATGGCGGAAGGGATGTTCAATAAGAATTCAACTCATGAATCTTCTCCCAGCCCAAACACCACCACCACAGGCCATTCTGAAAATAAATACGGCGAATATGCCAAGATGGCCGGAGATTTCTTGAAGAAACATTGATCCTGTATTTTACTCATGTATTAATTCTATGAATTTGAAGCTCTTTTTAGGTTGTGATTGATGTTTCCATTGTAATAAGGTTTATTTCCTAATTTTTATCTCTTGTAATGACTATTTATATCCAATATGATCCTGGTTTTGTATTCAAATCTCGTGTAAATAAGTGTTCTTCCTTGAGCTAACTTAGACTTTATGTTTTTTTGTTGCATTTAGCATTTTTGTTGTTGTTGATTTGTATTGTATGCTGTGTTTGTCTACTACCCTTTTATGGTTGGATTTCATTGTCATTATTTCTGTTCCATGATGTCTTTTTCTATTTTTGGGAAATTTTGAAGCCTTCACAGCTTTTAAAAGTACAAGTAATTTTTGAACTTTCAAATTTGATTCAACCATAATGCCAAATTCATACTTGACAGAGTTTACAGTGTATGTAATTCATTCTTATTTAAATGGTAGAATTACTTCCAATGGGAAGTTTAATTTCAATGCTTCTTCTAGACAATAGAAAAACAATAGCCCACACATTTGCACTTGCTTGTCTTTTGACACATAACCTTTTGTGATTATACATATTGACAACATTTTTCAGATTTGTTTATTGTTTAGAAGCACCAGAACATTGATGGAGCTTTGCCAGTCTCTCTGTACTTTTTCGCCTTCACTCTCACCTTTTCCTCGTCTTTTTCTTTCTGCTTCTTTGCCAGATCTTTAGTATGTTTCGAAAGATTTTCAATCTTCTGAATCTCACTGCGGTGTTTTTCCTTGGCTTTTTTATTTTGTGCTTCCAACTTTGCCTGCAACATTTGTGTAGCATATTCTAAGGCTCCAAAAGAATCTTAAGGTTGAACACATTTGCTGATCTTGATTGCAAAAAAAAATGCAAACCTCAGTTTCCTTTAACTTTTTGTTTTCTTTTTCCTCCTTTGTACGCTTCCATTTTTCGATTGCTGAAGTTTGACCATCAAACCTGATGAAACTTATCATCTTATTAGTGTAAGAAAGGTAGCACACTTGCACATAACAATATTAAAACCCGGGGTTCCATTTTAAAAAGGTCTTTCTACAAGCAAATTAGCCCGAAATGATATACTCCGTACTTCGTATGTTTGTTTGTAGTCTTATACTTGGGTGATGCGGGATAGCTCAATATGTCCCACAAGGTTATGAGTCATTCAACCAGACTAATATTGAATATTTGTGTGTGTTTTTGAATCCTTGCAAGATTAAATCGTTCAGACTAATATTGAATATTTGAGTGCTTTTTTGAGTCTTAGCCAGATTAAATTGTTCATTTGAGCTTAATTGGCTCTAATATCATTTGGGGACTTTTTAGATTGACAACATAGTGTATTGGTCTTAAATATTAAGATCTGTTTGGAGTTTCTCGTACCATCGTTTAATCTTGTCCATCTCCTTGTGCTCCCATATGTCTGCCTTGTTGCTTCCAAGTACAACATTTGGTTGAATTATTGGCTCTCTTGGGATGGTTGGTTGAGACGGAGGTTGACTTTGTGGATGAGTCTGCCTCAAACTCTCTTGTTTCCCACCAAGTGTAGAAACAGGAGGCCGAGGTCCGGCTGTCAGAGTCCTTTGAAAGGAACTGGAAGCGGCTGAACTTTTTTTGGGTCCATGGTTTAAGCTTGGACTTGGTGTCGTCTTAGTGGATGTTGATGGAGTTGGCGTTTTATCTACAGAGTCAGTTCTTGTTGTTGACCTTATTGAAATGTTTCTGCTGGGTTCCACACCTCTGCTCTCATCATCATCTCTACGGGAGCGTTCGTGTGATTGTATGGCGTATGCAGACGCTGCAGCGGCAACAGCCAAACCAGCTTTCTCTTCCTCTTCCCGATTCATCATTTCACTAGTAAGCTTTCCTCTGCTATCTGCAAAACACAGCTCTAAATGTCATTTATGCATCTCTAAGTATGTTACTATAACTCCAGGAACAATTTTTTGTATCTTAACCAGCATTTATATATGCCAATGATAAGCATCAACTTGTAGAGGTTCTATATAACCTTTGAAGGATTTAGATTCTTTAGATGTAATTATCTTCCTGCCCTCTACCTCTTTTTCAGGTGTTGAGATATAGTAACAATAAGAATAATATAAAAAAGTAATGATAAGTACTTCGTATATTACTAAAGAAACAATTCTTGTAGTTGTTATTATTATTATTACTATTAATATCGTATTCCAAGATGTATGGTGGATCATATCATTCAGTTCACAGAAAATAACACAACTATACTAGTATAGTTAAGCACTAATGTATAAACCTTGTGCATGGTAATAGATTAATGTTGTAACCTTAGTTGAATATGATTTTTACCTAGTATGATCAGCACCTTAGTGGAGATCTGCAAAGATGAGGTGATGGTGAGTAATCTCTATGAAGGGTGGGAGTTAAATAAGGGAGGGAGGAGATATACTGTTTTAGGGTTGCATGATAGTGATGATAGGGTATGGTTTGAAAGAGGAGCCAAGTAAAGTCAGAAGCCTTGAGATGCAAGGCCTGGTTTTGGATCTTAAAGAACCAAAGCAAAAGCATCCCTTTTTTCTTCTTTTATTCCAGTAGTAATGCTAATTCTTATGAGGGGGAATATCTGTTTAGCTGTACAAGCTTGTTCCTTTCCTCCACAAGTTGCCTTTTGTTGCCTATGTATCAAATCCTCAAGTCTTGATTTGCTTTTGCCTTATTCTTAAAGTTAAATACATTCCTACACACAATCTTAAGAGGGTTGTCATCAATCTTCTTGGGTACACTAGTTATCCACTTGATTGTAATTGTTATAGTTCGAAAATTCCGCAATTAAATCTTCACATTTAAGAAAAAAAGATGGTTTTTATTCTCTGCGTTTTCCATCCCTTCACATTTAGCCTCCCAATTACGTAGAATTCATGTAGTTAAGTAATAGTCGGTCTCTCAATTGAATTTTGAAGAAGAGGTAGTTGAGGGCGGATACAGACCAGTTCCGGCCTACTTTCGGAGAGGCCGATTCCCATTCTTCATTCTTGCACACTGTATACCCGCATCCGGGATTGATCCCATACCAGTTTTGATTCCTGTTCTCGACCAACTATTAACCTTATTTTAACTGATAACTGGAGCAGGGTGGTTCAGGAGTTTACACACAAGAATCAGAACCATAACTTGCTACTAGGGATGGACTAAACCGGGCCGGCCCGCTACTGTGCGGGCCCGGACCGGACCGGGACCGGTTGGCCGGTTCCGGGCTTTTAGCCCGTTTGGGCGGTTCAGGCCGGGCTCGGGCCCAACTTTTGTTGAACCGGCCCGGGTGGTTCGGGCCGGGCCCGGTTCAATTTTTTTCATTTTTTTTCTTTTCCTAGGGTAGGGCTGGGTGTTTTGGGGTGGTTTGGGGGGTAGGGGGTGACGGGGGGTCGGGGGATAACAAGAAAGGCAAAAAAAAAAATTAAACATGGAACCGGGCCCGGCCCGGGCCCGGTATCAACTCGGGCCAGTTCCGGGCCCAAGTAATTGCAAAAAAAGCCCGCCCGGGCCCGGCCCGGAACCGGAACAAGACCAGCCCAGGTCCATCACTACTTGCTACGGTCAATTCTAAGTAGCAGTACTAGTCCGGTTACCATTCAGTAAATTTTAGTTTGGTCATTTAAACAACCAGGTCAGGTCCAAGTCCACCCACATCCATTCACGCTTCCTTCTAAACAACCAGGTGTGATGCAGTTTTTAAGAAAAGTGGAATAGTATAGTTGATATGAATTGATAAAACGGGACAAAGGACTGAGGGAGTATTAATTTAAAACTTTTACCTTCACGATATCTCTGTTGTAATGAAACAATTCTCAATAAATTGTGCAAATACGATGACAATGTTTTCACAATCTAACAATGCTCATTATTTCTAATGTATTGGCTCATGATCGGAGTTTATACTTGAAGAAAAATATTAAATGATTCAAGAATGAGTTTATTCAATACTAGTATTAGAAACTGATGTACTACTTGCATGTAGCAAATATTAGGTATTCCAAGATGTATGGTTAAAGTTCACAACAGAAACTTTAACCATACAAGTAAAAAGAATGGGGGCACTTAGAATCTTAGATAGCTCATAGGACTAAATTAGCTGATTTAAGCTGAACATCTAATCAATGTACGGTGTTTTGTTTATTTTGTGTCCTAAACTACGATGTCTGAGAACTCAGAAAGTTCCAAAACTTTGTGGATGCCGATTGGATCCACACCTGTCCGGAATGAGTTTCCTTCAATGTACCTGCAATTAAATAAGTAAATAATAGAAGATGTGGAGTTGCTTTAAGCATTGGACCTGGAAATTTTGTTCTGTGTAATTAAAATAATAGGTAGAAAAGATGCAAAGGTTATTAACTGCCATACATTTCTTTCAAGAAAGGATGTTTGTAGAATGCATCAGGAATCCTCCCGGAAAATTGGTTGTGGTCCAGATAACTGAAATAGTAGAGAATGTTCTGAGATTTCCCATCAATCAGAGAACAAACAAATAATTGCAATTTACAACCTCATCAATACCTATGTAGATTTTTTTAATACGAGATGTATATCTTTTATAGCATTAAACTAAACAATTTTATGAGATACAGGTTGCACAAGTCTAGAAATATGCATACAAAAATTTCCAGTTCTGGTCTCACTGTTATTTTTAGGTCCCATTCATACTTTTGGTCCTCTGCTTTCATTTTGGGTCGCTTAAATAAATTTGGTCCTTTCCAGTCACATATCAAAGAGCATCCCCTCTTTTGGGTGCACCATTAATTTCTTGCAAACGTGGCCCTTTCCCGTCAATTATCCGGAGAAAACAACCAAAATTTGTATGAAATTGGACGGATAGTTGGGACTTGGGACCAAAATTGGGAACGACCTAAGTGAAACGCAAAAAAAATCTTATGCAAATGCCAATCCCCACAATACAAATGTTCATATTATGATTAAAAAATCAAACAACTTCCTCTCAAATAGTCCCCATTGCACCACACTTTACGGTTGAAACGGTTAGTGATGATTCCAAAGTTGGATCATGAATTACAACAATAACAACATCCAAATTTGGATCATGAATTTATTACATAAAATAACAGATAGAAGGCACTTACAGATAAGTTAGTTTCGGGATATGGCCAAGGCTGACTGGTATCACACCGGTCATTCTATTGTACGAAAGGTGCCTGTATCCAGCATATCACAATCATCACATGCCAAATATAGAACCATGTGATACAATTTACTTCATTACAAGGACACATGATTATTTGGATAAGCATGAAATCACTTACAGAATCTCCAAGTTTGTGAAATTCGCAAGTTGAGAAGGGATACCCCCAGTAAGATAATTATTGTTCAAATAACTGCAAGTGTTGTAAGATGGGCGCTATGGTAAATAATCCCACAATAAATATAGTTATAAGTTATTGTTACTTGTTCAGGTAACATGAAAATAAAATCTACTCACAGGTTGCGAAGAGCAGGGAAGCATCCTTCGATGCGTATGAGCTCCCTAATTGTCCCAACCAGACGATTGTTGCCAGCATCCCTGAAATTAGTAGTAGATCCATCAATAAATATGTATTACCTCCATCCCGATGGACTTTTCCAAGTGCAAAGTAGGTGAGAAATAAGAATAGTAAAAACTGTGTGGTTGAGATTTGTGCAGAGGAGAGAGAAATGTGCAGAACCACAAATTAGTTGCTTTAATAGGAAAGTGGCAAAGTTTTTTGGGACAACTAAAAAAGGAAAGTTGGCAAAGTCCAATGGGACGGACGGAGTATAAAACTAAGGGTATGTTTGGATGGAGGGTGTTTAGAGAGATATGGAGGGGCTGGTCTACATTCTCATACTCCCTCCGTCCCAAATTGTTTTGCAAAGTCAACATTTTTTGGTCAACCAATAAAAAAAGTCAATGCTCCCTATTAATAATTAATTCAATTTTTAATAATTAAAATTTATATATTTAGAAACTACATTAAAATCTCTTCAAAGTTGCAAACTCCAAATTAGAATATAATTAAAAATTGACATCCTAATTAAGCAAATAAAATGAAACTGTTTGACCAAGAAAAGTCAAATTTGCAAATCAATTCGGGACGGAGGTAGTATATTTTATAGATTTCCATAAAATTGAAAAATTAAAGTAATATCTGGTTGATATGATTTCAAACACCTTTTATTAGTTTTCAGAAACATTTTAGTCATATTTGTCAAGACAAAGGCTAATTCGTCCAAAGCCTTCCTTTGAAGTCTGAACCCCTCCAAAACCCTCCATTTATGATCCTAAATGCTGCACGCTCTAAGAACAAAAAAGAATTTCAGGTAAGGTCTTACAAGTGTCGCAGATTTTGTAAAGTTCCATAAAATTGAAAAATTAAAGTAATATCTGGTTGATATGATTTCAAACACCTTTTATTAGTTTTCAGAAACATTTTAGTCATATTTGTCAAGACAAAGGCTAATTCGTCCAAAGCCTTCCTTTGAAGTCTGAACCCCTCCAAAACCCTCCATTTATGATCCTAAATGCTGCACGCTCTAAGAACAAAAAAGAATTTCAGGTAAGGTCTTACAAGTGTCGCAGATTTTGTAAAGTTCCTAACTCAGGCGGGATTCGTCCAGTGAAATGATTTTCATGGAGATGAAGATAACGGAGCTCGGGAAGATTTGCAAGCTCCTTAGGGATTTCTCCTTTAAAGTTATTGAAGCCCAGGTAACTAAGAAGATATGTCAAACATTCAGATATTAGTTTATTACATTAAACTTGAAAATTGATATAGATGCTTAAGAGTTGCAGAAGAAATAACTTACAGATGTGTTAACTGCTTTAGTTCCCCAATTTCAGGGGGAATGACATCTTGAAACTTATTCCACCTTAAGTTACTGAGAGATGAGGGAAAACAAGGAGAAAATGAGAGAAAGAGGAATAAATAAATGAATGATTTAATCACTATGCAATGTAAACTTTAAGATGTGGAGGACCCTAGGAGACCAAACAAAACAGGTCAGCATAGTTTAGTTCTCCTACTCCACGAAAGTTAATGATAAAGTTCTGGTCTTTCCCACCCCTCCCCCAAAAGAAAAAACATTTAATACCATCTAACAAACTAGGGAACAGAATTTATCAGGAAGAGTTGGTTAGTTTCATGTATACAGACTGCATTAGACTTTTTTTCCATTTTGATAACCGCATCCTGTGTTCAACTTGTGGGTATACTAACATGGATGCATACTCTAATGATATGTTGGGCATCATGCTCAAGAGGATTTCTGATGGGAAGGGATGGAAGGTATTGTTTTTATTATTTTACATAACTACATATAGTTTATGATGATAAATAAATTACTTAGATTGAAATCTGTTTAATCATTTAATATCTTTTACATTGAAAACAATATCACGTTATAGTACTTGTTTCTTAAAATGAAAACACCCACTCTACTACCTTTTATTTTGAAACAATATCCAAATCCTAGCACCCGAACATATCCAAAAGAATGCATGGTAGTCTTACAGTATCTTAAGATGCTTCAAGCGCCCAATTTGAGGGGGTATTGGACCGGTCAGCTTGTTATTATGCAAATCCCTACCATGTCAAAGATAATTTAGGTTAACAAGATGAAGTGTTGATAGAAAGAGTCATGCACATAACATTTCTATAATTAAACATAAATAGTTCATCATTTCATCATTTTCATTTACCCCAGTGCCGCAAAGGCTCCCACCTACGGTGGGGTAAGGGGGGGTCGGATGTACACGGTCTTACCCTGTACTAAAGCACAGAGAGACTGTTTCCGGATGACCCATAGTGAAAATCCCGTCCAAAATTGCATGGACTGAAAGCTGCTTCATAACAAATGCATTTATAAACCAGAGCATCTAGATATTAAGTTTAAATTAATTGTAACATAAAAACTAGAGTTCAACATTGAGCAAACGTTGACTGAAATGCAACTGAATTCCTCAGAACATAGCTGTTTCATACTTAAAATTAGAGGATATATGTAATTTATACTGAGCGCGAAACTAGAGATCCAAGCGAGGGAGAGTGGGAAATTACCGTCCCGCTTGAGGGTTTTACAGTGAACCACGACGTCCAGAAGAGAGGCGAACAAGAAGATCAGGAAAAGTATGAATGTAAGGAAACGTCGAGTCGCCATTGAAGCGGTAGTCATCAGCTCAACCGCGTCACTCCTTCCAGTTGACCCAGTTTAGGAAAATCACAGAGCATAACACAACATCAGAAATTCCAAATCGGATATCGAAATCGTGAGATCTGGCTGCGTGGTAAAATGGTAGAGAAAAACACTAGTGTCATACAAAAATTCAATACTTGTTGGCGAATTTTTACCATAGAGGAACATCAACAATATGAATTTTTTAGGAAAAAAAATTTTATATAATACGTAGTACAAATTATCACCCAAGTCAATACTCCTTCCGTTTCACAATCTTTGACACAGTTAGACTTGTCAAGAATTAAGGAAAAAATGTTAACGAAGGGTAAATTTTACTGTAGAGTACACTGTTTGGCACTGTTTGAACATTGTTTGTCACTGTTTGACACTGTTTTGCACTTTTTGGTAGAGATTTGTTTACCAAATAAGAAAATAAGGAAGTGTGTCATTGATTGTGAAACAGCCAAAAAAAGAAAGTATGTCAAAAATTGTGAAACGGAGAGAGTATTATACTTTAGAAATAATTTTTAATAATACAGACTATTTGTACATATAACAAAATTAATGTAAAGCCATTTTTCGACTTTAAATCCAATCATTTAAGACCTTAAAATTGACATCAAACAATCAAATAAATGATATTTGGAAATATCCTATCTCCCCTACCCCTGCTGTGAAGTGGGGGTGGGGGGGGTGAACGGTAGTTACTATTTTAGGTTAGTTTACTAGCTTAGATAGTTAATTTTGACACATGTATTGTTACTTTTGGATGATTTTTATATTAGTTAAGTAACTAAACTTTTTATATTACTTTTATCCAAAAAAAAATGATATTTGGAAATATTAAATTTTGGAAATAACAAAACTTATTTGATATTTTGATATTAGTTTTAGATAAGTTAAGTAACTAAACTTTTTGTGAATAATTGATATATATATCACTTTTGATATATATTCAAATTGTTGGTATTATAAATGTTATTAAAACTTTTGATAATTTTTATATTATCATAATGAATCGTCCTTGCACCAAGGATCGGCTCTGAGCCCTTTCTTATTTGTCATAGTCATGGATGAACTTACGAAGTCAATTCAAGACGATATATCGTGGTGCATGATGTTTGCCGACGATATTGTATTGATTGATGAGACGCAATCAGGTCTTAAAGCAAAGTTGGAAGTATGGCGACAAACATTGGAGAATAAGGGTTTCAAACTAAGTCGGAGCAAGACATAGTACATGGAGTGCAAGTTTGGTGGAGGTAGAAGCAATGGTAATAGCGGAATTACTCTGGATGGTAAGGAGATACCAGTCAGCGATATGTTCTGTTACTTAGGCTCCATAATTCAGAAGGACGGTGAGTTAGATGGAGATGTATCCCATAGAATCAGAAGGACGGTGAGTTAGATGTAGATGTATCCCATAGAATCAGAACATGGTGGATGAAATGGAAGAGTGCGTCAGGATTTCTATGCGATCGAGGTATGCCGACTAGATTGAAGGGTAAATTTTATAGGACGGCAATTAGGCCTGCATTACTGTATGGCGTAGAGTGTTGGGCGGTGAAACAATGTCACATTCAAAAGATGAGTGTAGCAGAGATGCGCATGCTGCGTTGGATGTGTGGGCATACTAGGAAGGATCGCATGAGGAATGAGACAATCAGACAAAGGGTGGGAGTAGCACCTATTGAAGACAAGATGCGGGTGTCGCGCCTAAGGTGGTTTGGTCATGTGCGTAGAAGATCGAGTGATGCACCTGTCAGACGAGTTGAGATGTGTGGAGAAGAGGCATAGAAGAGAGGGAAAGGAAGACCCAAACAGACGTGGGTTAAGGGAGTTCGAAGTGATATGCTTCTTCTGGAGTTGGATGAGGGCATGACTTTGGAGAGAGCTAAGTGGAGGGTGGGTATTCGTGTGGAGGAGTGATCTCGCATCATCTTTTTCCCTCATCTTTTTTCCTTGTTTTTTATCCTTATATATATAAGCATTATTTTTATCCTTTTTATTTTATCATTTTTATGTATATTCATCTCTTTTTATATTCTTTTTATAATAGCTTATCTTTTTATCTTTATTTCCTTTCTTTTCCTTTTGGTGGTGATATCATGTATCGATTCATGTTAGCCGATCCCAATATCTTTTGGGACTAAGGCTTGGATCTTGTTGTTGTTGTTGAATCTTCCTTGCACCGTTTATAATTTTCATATTATAAACAGTCAAAGTTTCACATTTACAATTAGGATCGTATCCATTGTTACACGATAATTAAAAGTCTAATCACATATATTAGAAGTCTCTCATCATATCATTGACCTATAACTATGAACAAAGATAATTCCTACTTCCCGAAAATACCACCAATGTCACTTTAAAAATAATGATTGTGTCAATAACATATCTAACAATAAGTAATCATTTCATCATAATTCCATAATTGTTATAAATGTCTTATAACAATTTTCATGTGATCTTTGACCGAATTATTACCTCATATAATAGTTATACAGATTATTTTATTATCCGATTAGGGGACATTATTTTTATCAAAAGTACTAATACTAACGTTCGAGGTCGGAAGCGGGACTACTTGCCCCCCCCCCCCCCCCCCCCCAGCCCCCAATGTCATCCACTGAAAGTATGTATTAATTTTTTATCATGAAATATAATTTGTATTATTTAAAGTTATTTTCCCGTAAATATACGATTTAGTGCAACTTTTTTCATTTTTTGAAAGACTGAATTCCCCAAGTAGAAATAAACAACACTAAGCAAAATACTCCGTATAAAATAGAAGTTAGTTTTAAATTCTCTCAAATACCCCTGTAAGCCTGTTGTCACCACCTGCCACTGTCGGTCGCTAGTAGAAATCTCCCGTTGCCATATTGTCATTGCAAGTCACCGCCGGAATATACCGCCGCTCAAAATCAACATGATACACTTGCCACCAGCTTGCCTCCGTCACTACCGGGCTGCCCGACCACAAACGGGTTATTGTGCCTTATAGAAGGGTCATTGTGTATTAGATAATGATTATTTGTGAACCAGATTGACAATTTAGACGACTGAGATTAATTCTTATTTTACATGTTAAAGCTCCTATTTATTTGAATCGTCCCCATAATTATCAAAACATAATTATAATAATACATAATGACCATAGTACTATTATGTTGTTCATAAATTTATAATGCACAAGTGTGTGGTCCATATATTAACTACGGCCATGCATGGTTGATGGGAAAGCCACAAAACATTCTTCTAAAAGTTAATGTGGAGTCACAAGTGTTGAAGATGATGGATATTCAATTTATAGAAGGAGAGATGGTGATAAAGGAGTTGGGAAAAATAATACGAGTATCCATTTAAATAACCGATTCGTAGTTCCCCATAATTGATTTTTGTTGATGAAATATGGTGGTCATATCAATGTGTTATGGTATAATCAATTTCGATTGATCAAATGCTTCTTTAAGTACATCAGTAAAGGGCGTGGTCATGGTACTGTATGTTTTTTAACCGTGCGAATGCAAATCAAGGAAACGCCATTGTAGATGAAATAAAATGTATTACGATTGCCATTATCTATCATCCCATACGTGAGTCTGCATAATGCATTTTTGTATTTGAGATTAAATATGATAGTCATCCAATTGAGCGTCTCAGTTTTCACATTGAATATGAGCAGACAATAATTTTCTAAAACAATGAACCTCTCGATTTTGTATTGGGTGGAAGAAGCATTTAGGACAATATCTTTTCGGGTTAAATAAAAGCCAACAAGAAGTATGAGATTGGAGAAAAAGTAACCTATGCATATAAATTTCCTCACAAATTTGTGTGGGAAAGTGGTAGAAGGGAATGGGTATTGAGGAAAAAGTCATTTTCTATTGGTAGGACATATTATGTGTCACCATGGTATGGAGAATCATATTATCTAAGGTTCTTACTAAATCATATTCGGGATCTGTTGTGGCAACTATAAGCTGGATTGCTGAATTGTTGAAATCATACTCGCGAAACAACATGTCATGAAGAGTTGATGATGATAGATGGCGTCTTACATAATTCACATCGCGCACCTTGTTATGCTTTGGACCTTTTGAATGATGACTTGAAACTCGCTAACAATTTTATTGAAGCAAGTCATTTTTACGAGCACACATCCATTAAGGCTACTATTATGATCTTACAGGAGAGTTGCACACTAATAAATTCTTAAATAGGTTTAAACTGTATGATGTACCAAATCATGAGATGACATTGAGAGTAGGTACTCATATTATACTTTTGTGTAATGTTAATTACCCCTGGGTTTGTGTAGAAGCTATGTAGTTGCATCTATTTATAATTTTATCATAAATTTATATCTTAATTTCATGACTTTGAGCATTTAGATAACAATCTAATGCATTACACGTTCTCATTTTTACTCAATGATTAATATTCAGTTGATTCGGTTATCAGTATATGTGTGTACATTAAATGAAATTATTGCTCTTCGATAAACATATGAGGAAAGAATAATCAAGAATAGATTATCTTAAAAAAGTGTAAGTTAAGCGAAAATTATGGATTTGAAGAGAACAATTAATTATATGAACAAACATATAGTGAAACAATTCACTATTTACAGTATATCACTCTACAAGATTATCATTTATGACATATTTCATTAGATTTTTAATCGGATGTCCCCAAAGGGACTTTTGTTAGAAATAGATAATTACACATGTTTGTAGAAAAATGTACAAAGACATACTAGTTAGGTCGTGAATTTATTTATAATGAGTTCAGTAATGTACAAAGGCATACTAGTTAGGTCATGTTCCCATTCATCATCGACACGGGCTATGAGGCTATGAATCGTCAATGATTTTTAATGTAATTTCTAACTTCCTGGGTTGCGATCTCAATATGGAAACGATAATGTTTTTTAGTTTATTCGAGAAACATTAGTAGATATTAAGATTATATGTATTCTTTAAAATTAATTCACTCACATCAAAGAGAAAATTTGCACTATTAGACTTAAACGCATCTAATACTTTACTGCTCTTCCATTGAGTTGACCTGCTAAATCAACTATGCAGCCAAAAACAACTACAAAAATAATTGTGTCTGGTAAACCATGAAATTAACACGAAATTAACACGGATGATTAACTAGAGATAAAATGAAGAACACTCAAAGAGCTTTTCAACGCGAAATCGAGAGATTCGATTGATGCTCAGTTGTGAAGCGGGTTAGGACCAGAAGGGACCACTCTTTTCTCAGTCTCGTATCTTGGATCAATCTCCACTGACGGGGACACCTTAGCCGCAGGTGGCATGATTGGTTGACAATGATGAATTCTATGAAGTCGATAATAAATTATGGTGTCATGGCTACTGATGGTAATCAAATCGTTGTAAGGAGGATTGTGTGAGAATTTCTGAACATGATGTTTAGTTGAAGATGATATAGATACAAAGAATAATAAGATTAAGAAGACAAATGTTTGATAATCTTTCATTATTCTTGAAATCCTTGTATTCGAGATTTTCTTACTAGTGTATTTAATATATTGGATTACAATATATGTCAATTATATGTGTCCAAATAAAAAGCTCCATTCTCATGAACAATAAGAAAAATATGGCGCATAAAATTTGTGCTTTAGGGACTAAATATGTCAAAAATGCATCAAATTTAATAAAAAAAATGGGACCAGATTTTTGTAAATATATCAAAGCTTTTATCCATTGTACAAACACACTTTTGAATGCAATAGTAAACCGTATATGATCAAAAGTGCAAAGAGAAAATCATGTGAATGTAAAAGTGCATCAAATACGATCTAAGGTGGAGCCGTAAAAACTTTTCAAGGGGACACCAATTTTTAAATAAACTTGACCATTAGGGTCTAGTTTTAATAAAAAAGCGGTGCTCTCTTGAAAAGAGTGACTTATTGCTCTTAGATCATATATACTGCGCTATGATATTACATTCAGACGGATTTGGTATTACAATTTTGATCATATACGCTGCTCTATTTTTATTCAAGCGATGTACTCTTTACAATGGGAAAAAATTAATTACAAAAATACATTTATATTTGTATGTAATTTAATGCATTCTTGGCATATTTAAAGTTATTAGATCATAAATATGATCGCTCATACATATTATTAATTTCTATGAGAAACATACTTATTGTGTGTGTGTGTGTGTGTCTAAATGGGTTCCAATTACAAATAGTTTTAACGTGAGAAGTAATAATTTATCTAAATATTTGATCTTAGGAGAATGTTGGCCAAAACTTGTGAGGTGCACTTTCATATTGTGTGGAAACCCACATACTAACATATCTATGAGTATGGATGATTTTTACGCATGATAATGGGAGAAAATGAGGTAAATGAAATTAATACCTTTTATATATTAGCTTTAATTGTTAGCACCATCCCAAAATTGGATACTATTGTACACCCCATTTTGAGAGTTATTGCCACGTCAAAAATAGTGTCTCATATCTGGAAATGAATTAAATTAGGTGTTCATATAGTAGGTTCAATGGATTTTGGTTAACGTGTAAACTAACAATTTGTTTGCACAGAATATATTCAAATTATACATTCGTTAAAGGAATTGTTAACTATAGAAATTGCTCAATATACTACTAAAACATAAACAAAGTTCAAAAATATGACTAAGTATATTTTATTCCCCACATACTACTTATTTAGTCCTATTAAAAGCCAAAATTGACTATAACTTTTCAAAGCAGGAGTGAATGAGTCATATTTTAGAAATAAAACAATACTAGTCCTATATATGAACTTTGTCTTTGTTTTAGTCCTATTTAGAGAATTTTCTCAAGACTAATTCAACTTTGTTTACTTCATATGCTGAATTTTAAGTTAAATAAGGTTTTATTGAGGCATCAAATTAACAATTAAATATATTAAAATCAAGCATTATTTTTGCGGCACGATAACATATACTCCATTCGTCCCATATAAAGATGGTTACTTTCTTTTTTTGGATGTCCATATAAAGGTTCCCATTTCTATTTTAGAAAATAATTAACACTTTTAAATACAATTTAATCATCATATAATAAAAACAATAAATCTATAGCATCAAAGTTATCCTCATTAACCTCATTATATTACATATTATTAAAATTAGTTCTCAAAATATACTTGAATTACCTTATATAACTATTGTATAAATAATTGTGCCATTTTGCAATAGTAACCTTTAGACGAGACAAGTGTAGTAATATTTTGTTTTTTAATTGCACTCTATAGCATCAAAGTTATCCTCATTAACCTCATTATATTACATATTATTAAAATTAGTTCTCAAAATATACTTGAATTACCTTATATAACTATTGTATAAATAATTGTGCCATTTTGCAATAGTAACCTTTAGACGAGACAAGTGTAGTAATATTTTGTTTTTTAATTGCACTCTTGATAAAATTGTAAATGGTTTGATGACAAGTGCACATTAGACTTATACTAGTGGACCATATGTATAATGTGTGCACTTCATTGTATTATATTATTATTGTAAAAACTATCATAATATAAAATAAATATACACTTGTTTGTATGTACATGTATTAAAACTTCTAACATCTTTTCGATAACTAGAAAACAGATTCACTTCTCACAAAAAAAATTGTGTGTAAATGTATCACATAAAATATTCAAGTAAAATTAAATGAGTCAGATGTACAAATGTTGTAATATTCACAATTTTATTCAAATGAATCATGCAAAAATATAATTGCAATATACTATTTATCGTCAAACACTCAAACTTGTTTTCATACAGGTAGCGCAAAAAACACAACACATACAGATATGTCGTATTAGCCAACTTTGTCATAATAAATGTAGGAAATGTGTAAATGAAGTTAAAATGATATATGCTAAACATGTATTTTTCATGTCTAAATTATTTATTTATAACCTAAAGATGAAGAGTGAAGATAAATACAATATATATATGTGTGTGTGTTTGTGTGTGTGTGTTACAAATAGTTCGATGTTCGGTTCGGTTTGCGGTTTTTCAATTTTAAACAAAACCTAACCAAACAGTTCGGTCAAACCAAATTTTGGTTTGATTCAGTTTGGTTAAACCCAAACCATTTTGCCCGGAAGCGTATACTATACGACTGGCTGTACGGTGTCAGCCGTACAGCCGGTGACAGTTTTATAATTTTGATGAAAAACACGGATTCTCTTAAATGAGCATTGATGCAATTTGGTGAGAATCAAGCATGTTTTTATGAGTATTAGGAGCCTACCAATGAACATTAATGTTTTCTCCTCCCTATCATCCAATTGACTTTTGTTTTATTATTTTTCAATATGTGAATATAATGTAGTAGGATACGTTTGAAATGTACAACATTTTAAAATGAGCATACAGCGATACCAAAATGAGCATTTATAACTTAGAAAATGCGTTTTAAAAAATTCAAAAATTCATTTGTGTATGTTCATTCATTTTTGACGTTGTACTTATTTTAGTTTAACATAAAATTTATTTCAAATGTGATCAATATTCATTTGTGTATGTTCACTCCTTTTAGGCGTATACTCATTTGAGTTTAATATAAAACTCATTTGAGATTAACAACAGCAAGGATTCCTCAGCAACGAAGTAGACTCCCCTATCTCTTAAAATTACATACTCAAACAGTAAAACTACACCGACAACTACGCCGAAAAGAAAAACATGGGAGGAGAGGTAAGTAGGTAAGTAGGGTGGAGAAGGGGGTGAGTGATGAACTTTGGCGACGAGCTGCAGGTGCGAAATCAGATCGAAAAATCCCAGCGAGATTGAAGAAGTGAGATGCGAAGTCATGTGCGAAAACGTCTGGTGCGAAGTCCTGTGCGAAATCTGGTGTGAAGGTCTGATGCCAAGCTGGTGCGAGGATAAGAAGCACATAAAACCTAAAAAGTCCGATTGTATCGTGTGCACGGTACAACCGACTGTAGGATGTAATTTGCGATTTTGTCCAACCCTAATTTAAATAGGGGAGTGAAGGATCAGAGAATTGGAGTGGGTGAAGTGGGATATAAAATAATCCATACCATGGGCAAACAAAATACAAATATGTTGATGCAAGGGAGTGAAGGGACATAAAATATAGAGTTGCTTTTACAACAAATTTGGGACAAAGTATTAGTTACTCAAGCTGCTATGAACTAATGAAAGGAACCTTCCGCCATTTCCATCAAAAGCTGTCCTGGCTTTTTGGAATTATTAGTTGATTAGTTGATTTATTTATGTTATTAACTTATTATTATTATGCCACAACAACTTTATTTTCTTCATCAGTGCTCGAACGTTGTACGGAGTATAACTTTACCGCCATATGCCTTGATCTCCATATCAAATTTTAAAAAAACTATACTGTATTTAATATGATCTCCATAATCTTCTTCTTCTTCACTCTCTTGATTTCATTCTCCTTCTTGACCTTATCTTCAGCATCGCAGGCCTCTATCTACGTCACACCACAAACAGTATCCAAATCAGGCGACCCAATAACGATCAGATGGTCTGGCATTGACTCTCCATCCAAGCTTGACTGGGTCGGGATCTACTCGCCACCCGATTCATCGCACAAGAACTTCATCGGCTACTTCTTCCTTTCATCTTCACCCGGATGGGAGGCCGGATCTGGATCCATTTCCTTCCCACTCGTCAACCTCCGGTCCAAGTTCCAGTTCCGGATCTTCAGATGGACAGAGTCCGAGATCAATCCAAAGCGCCAAGACCACGACCAGAACCCGCTGCCTGGGACGAAGCATCTGCTCGCCCTGTCCGAGGAGATCGGGTTCGAGCCGGGTCGGGGTCCCGAGCAGGTCCATCTGGCTGTGACGGGCCGGGAGGGAGAGATGCGGGTCATGTTTGTCACTCCGGATGGGAAGGAGAATTCTGTGAGATATGGGTTGACCCGGAGTAATTTGGATCGGTTGGTGGGTACCGTGGTAGTGAGGTATGAAAGGGAGGATATGTGTGATACTCCAGCTAATAACAGTGTTGGATGGAGAGATCCTGGGTATATACATGATGGGGTTATGACCAATCTGTCAAACGGGAAAAGATATTATTACCAGGTAATTAACTATTCGGGTTACTCTAACGTAGACTTACATAGTAGTATGCATATTTTCGTTTGCAAATTTCTATGTTTATACTCATATGTGGTTTGGCTCAACTCCTTGCTGTCTTAGTGTCTTACTATAAAAAGAAATCTGTAGTTGACTTGCATTGTTTTGTTAATTGAATTATTTATTTATTGGTTAGGTTTCAAAGACTCAATTTTTGTCCTGAGATGAGATTAATCTTTAATTTACTCAGTTGCCGGTTTCTGACCTGTGTTGCAGCATATTTTCTTCCCAAAATTTTAAAGAGCCATACATGACTCCTTTATGGAGTCACATGGGCTATGTTGGCATCACAATCACCATCCATTTTTAGTGGACATCCCCTTTAAAAAATTGTGTGGTGATTGTGATGCCAACATGACCTATGTGACTCCATAAAAGAGACATGTATGACTCCTTAAAACTTCTCCGAGGTTGGAAAGTAAACATTTATTTTCTTTAAGTAGCAGTATAATTCACCTGCGGTTACCTGCAGATTTATATAGTTCTCTTAGAAAAAGTATTATTAGAAAAACTGCAGATTTATTCAACAAGACTGGATGTCAGATGGATGCCTCTGATAGACTGATATGTTGATACCATGTTTAACAGCAACTGAAGTTCGAGTTCCATTTCTAAACGGGGCAGAGGGCGTAAAGCTATAGTTATGACTTTGGGATGATGCAAAATATTGTTCTTTTAAAGTAGGCATTATTACACGGGAAATACATATATTACGTGATCATGCACGCACAGCCTGACAATGTAGCTAAATATTCATTTTGGTTATAACACATTCTTGGGCACCATAATGAATTAATTGTGCTTGGTTCATTATTATCAGTGTAGCAAATTAGTAGAGTAGAACATAGCAAAATAACAAAGCTACCAAATAGAGTGAACCAAAGCAAAATGATTAAGTTTCAAATCATATTTATATCATTTTATTGTCACTCTTAATACAACTGTTACCTTAAAAATGGCATTTTTATTTTATCTTAATGGACAGTCAATTTGGAATCACAAGAGTGTATGATCTGTATTTTTCCCATCCTAAATAATCTGTTAGGCCATTGAACAACTATACATGCTTTTCCTTGTTTCTTTACTCATTCATTTGCTGATATGCCTCCCATCTTGCTGAATTTCCCTTCCACCTTTGCTTCATTCACTATGGTGAGCAGAATATGTGTTATCAAGAGATGTTCAAACTTCAGCTTTTCAATACCATTTATTTCTGTCCACCCTCGGGATGGAACAAGTTGAATGATTCAATCTTATTTCCCCACCCATCCCTTACTTTTTTTTTTAACTTTTGCCCAAAATAAGAATAACTAATTTAGTGTGATCATCTGGTGCACTATATTTACTCCTTTATCATTTGATACAAAACCGTACAGGTTGGCAGTGATGAGGGAGGTTGGAGCACAACTCACTCTTTTGTGTCACCTCCAGGCGTAGACTCAACAGAGACAATAGCTTTCTTATTCGGAGACATGGGGACCGCAACATCTTACACCACCTTTGTACGCACCCAAAACGAGAGCATATCAACAATTAAATGGATTAGCCGTGACATTGAAGCTCTTGGGGATAAACCTGCTCTTGTGTCCCATATAGGTGATATCAGCTATGCTAGAGGCTATGCTTGGTTGTGGGACAACTTTTTTGCTCAAATAGAGCCCATTGCATCCAAAGTCCCGTATCATGTTTGTATAGGTAACCATGAGTATGATTGGCCTCTACAACCTTGGAAGCCTGACTGGTCTAGCTATGGAAAAGACGGAGGAGGTGAGTGTGGGGTGCCCTACAGTCTTAGGTTCCATATGCCTGGAAATTCATCTGAACCGACCGGAATGCGGGCCCCACCCACCCAGAATCTTTACTACTCATTTGATTTTGGACTCGTGCATTTCGTTTTCATGTCGACTGAGACTGATTTTCTTCAGGGTAGTAAGCAATATGAATTCTTGAAGAACGACTTAGAGTCGGTTGATAGGAAAAAAACTCCATATGTGGTCTTTCAAGGTCATCGGCCGATGTATACTACTAGTTATGAGTACAGGGATGCCCCTATTAGGGAGAGAATGCTCGAACATATAGAACCTATTCTTGTGAATAACAATGTAACTCTTGCATTGTGGGGTCACGTTCACAGGTACGAGAGATTCTGCCCGTTGAACAACTTCACATGTGGAAGCCTAGGCTTGAATGGGGAGAAGTGGGAAGCTTTCCCTGTGCATGTTGTGATTGGGATGGCAGGGCAGGACTGGCAGCCCATATGGGAACCTCGGGCAACCCACCCGGATGTACCCATTTTCCCACAACCCGTACGGTCTATGTACCGTGGAGGCGAGTTTGGCTACACGAAACTTGTCGCTACAAAGGAGAAACTTAAATTTTCTTATATTGGGAATCATGATGGGGAGGTGCATGATATGGTAGAAATTCTGGCTTCAGGCCAAGTTCTCAATGGCGATGGTGGTGATGGCATTTGCAGTGCATTTGAGAAGAGGGAAAAAAACAATGTCAGAGAAGAGGATGTGTCTAACGTGATGAAAGGACAGGCTGAGCCAGCTTTAACATGGCTTCTCAAAGATGTTGGCTTACTAGTGATTGGAGTTGTCATTGGTTGTGGTATAGGGTATGCAATACATGTAAGAAAGAGTGCACCATCTCTGAAATGGGTTCCCATAACGGATGAGGGATTATGAGTTCTGGATTCAGTTTGCGTGCACTCAAATGGAGGATGGGTCCCAAAGTCATCGGAATGCCCGCCTTTAAAGAAGGTTTGAATGCTAAGTAAGCTGTGTAATCGATTCATTTGTATCCTATTCATGCCCAGCCCCGGGGAGACGGAGAAGATCCCGTGGTATGAGGTTTAGGTGTTGGTACTATGTGGAGATAGATAGTGTACATATGAAAAATCACAGTTCAATAGTGTTATACGGAGCAGCAATTACTATGGTGAAAGTTGAGACACATGAAATCAACTTGGGGTCACTTTTCATGCTTCTTTTATCAATTTAATTTTATGTAAGGTACATATATACGTCAATGTTGAGATCTAGCAAATGAAAGTTGAATAGAGCCCGTTTGGTAGCACGAAAATAGGCTGATATGGCTGATTCTGTTGAAATTTATGAAGTTCTGGCTGAAGTGGCTGCATTGGCCGATTCTGTTGATTTAAAAAAAAATTATTTTTAAAATATATTTTATTAATAAAATAAAGAAAAAATTATATGTAAAAATAGCTAAAATGGTCATCTATAGTAACTTCAGCCAATACAGCCAGAAAAGTAACTCTAACCTTACTTTTTCTGCTTATTACACAATTCAGCGTGTGACACCAAAAGTTACGTATTTGATGAAAAAGTTGGCTGATAAGCCTGATAAGTCCAAAACCAGTGTTGCCAAATGATCTCTAAATCAAATTACTGATTTTTTTTTTCATTAGACGCTCATTCTCAGAATCTCAGTGCTGGTGGTTCAAACGTTTCTCTTAAATGTTCTCAAAGTATGCATACCCTGCCTGCATTTTGAAAATATAAAAAATTGTGTAGCTTACTAGCTTGATCCAAACACTAATAGGGCTTCCTAATTTGGGCTTCTGGTGAAGTGGTACCAGAAGTCGTAGCAAAAGTGCACAACCGTTAATGTTGCTGGCGTTTTACTCGTTTTTTGCACAACCGTTCATGTGATGTCTAGATTAAATATTTGGCATATTTTACTCTCTCCGTCTCAATTTGATAGTCTCATTTCTTTTTGCCACAAGTTTTAATAAGGTGATTGAAAAGGTAAAAGTTGTGGTTGAGATTTGAGTATAATAAAGTGAAATGATACGAACCACATCTTTCTTTCCAAAAAGGAAAACAGGGCCATCATTTTGGAACATCCCAAAAAGGAAATACAGACTATCATTTTGGGAGAGAGGAAGTACTATGATTTAGTACTGGTTGGTGGTTTGCAGCTGGTAAAAATGGGTCGATTGTTTCTTTATGGGTATAGATGTTTAAATGTAATGTTTATATGTTAAAGCGTCCAATATCTGATTCTTGAAAGCTGGGGGTTATATTAACTTTTTTTTAACAAAGTTTCTTTTGAAAAATAAATATATTTGCCATCTCATTTAATTGTTATTCTAGAGCAAGTTTTCTTTGTGTTGTTGAATTGTTATGAGTTTTTTTTCGAATTGATGCGATTAAAGAACTAATTACCGAAATAATGTCCAGTTAAAAGTATTTATCGAAATAATGTCCAGTTAAAAAAAATATTTACCGATCTATTGCTGGGTTAACCCTGGTTAAGGAAAGTCGCCAAGCCATTTGGCGACTTATAAGACGCCACCCCGTTTGACGACTTTCCCTTTAAAATAGACCGACACCCAACCTTCCGGAGACAGAACAGGATTTAGCGGAAGTCCCAAACCTCTGCGATTTCGAAGCAACAGCTCCAACTCCGGCAAGTGCATCAACGACGACGCCCCTCTACCTTGCCAAGGATACTCCACCTCCATCTTCTTCAGCACTCTTTCCTCTAGGTAAATCAATCTTCATTTCATCTCATATTTCATGTTAGGGTTTAGAATGTATAAATTTGGAATTTTTAAATTAGAAGTTGATTTGTGAATTGATTTGTTGTGAAATGTGAATATGTATGAAATGTTGAATTCAATGTAATATTTTGATTTTGTTATGCGTTTGTTGTGTAATGTAAATTGTAATGTAATATTTTGAGTTTTATTTTTTGAAAAATGTAATATTTTGATTTTAATTTGTTAAGTGTGGTATATCTAATAGGATTTTCTTAAATATGAGAGTTTTTAATTACGTTGTTATGTCTATGAAATGTTGAATTTGGGTACTTATCAATTATTGTCATGTATTGTTATTAGAATATGGATTTCTCCAACTTCCCAATAGTGTGTCATTAGGGAGGGAAATTATTTGAGGAAGTAGAGGGTATATACTATGAAGGTGGTTATCTGCGGGTGCGGATGATATTGCCAGCCCTACTCGTGGTGCATGTATGCTAGAGATGTTGCAAAATATATATGCAGCTACACAGATTCATCCGAGCCATTCTTTGCAAGTGCAGATGAAATATCCCCTTCACGGGGGATCATACATGCTTATGCCACTTGATGATGAGGAAGCTGACACGGGATTGTAGACGATAGTTCAGATGATGACTATGTCCACAATGGAGATATACATTGCAGATTCCATAGGTGACGCTAATATATATCTGTCACCATCAAATGTTGTTGTATTTGGGGCACAATGGTGCATCCTTTTTAAGTGGCCATGAAACTGATGATGATGCTGATAAACACATCAATGATGATGCAATGACAGAGTCGGATGAAGATGATGGTGATACTGTGAGCGCAACTGCCCCGTATAGCCACTATACTAGACTATATGATCTCCCATCCGGCTTTGATGATCCGTACGTGGAGGAGTGGAACAAGTGTGAAAAGTTTTTCACCCGACGGTGAGTTTGAGGTTGGTATTCATAGATTGGTGACTATTGTACCTCTTGATAGAGCTCTACTCACTGCTCTTCTTGAGCGTTGGAGGCAGGAGACACACACATTTCACCTTCCAGTTGGTGAGGTGACAGTGACCTTGTCACCTTGGGGGTGTGACTGTATTGAGAGGGTTAATTACAGGTCCATGGGAGAGCAGTTACACAGATTGTTGTTGATGAGAGCTTCCATTTTTCGTGACAAGAGTGGAAATGAGGTTCAAGTGCTGCACTTGCCGATGCTAGAGAGATTTGATGTAGCTACGTACTTCAGTTGGGGTAGTGCCACACTAGCTTATCTGTTAAGGCAATTGTGTCGAGGTTGTTAGAGTGGGAGCACGGAGGTTGGTTTTTTTTTTGCTTCTATTACAGATTTGGTCATGGGAGTACATTCACATTGGGCGTCCCATTATAGTACGATACCATGGGCTTGATGGACACACACTTCATGATCAGCCTCCACATCTAATTGGACCACATCTTCGATGGGGTGAGGACCCTCTAGAGTGTTGGTATGTTTTACTCGATTATATTTATGTTATTGTATGTTTAATATAATTATATTCATTATATTTGTATTAATATATACTACATGGATGGTTAGATGACTTTTTGCTAACATTAACTATCATATGAATAGCAGTAAGACAAATTTTTTATCCTTATGAAACAGATTACATGGATGCCATGTACAGCTCAGATGTTAGAGGAGTTGCCTCCGGCAGGATGAGAGCATTTTGATATATGGCGATCACGTATGCCGTTGATATGTTTTGACATTGTTGAGCTTCATTTGCCTGATCGTGTACTGCGACAGTTTGGCCACGAGCAGGTCATTCCAGCAGTTGTCGACACATGTGTAGATTTTCATAAGGTGGATAGCTAGGCGTGGGAAGCATACACGGGATTGGTCGCTCAGACATGTCCGATACATGACTATATGGAAGAGGCGAGCGGAGCTTGTTGTGACTGGGACACCGACATTACTCCCATCTGTTTCTGTAGATTACATGAGATGGTATTACAGCATCACACAGTTGTTTGTCTCTCCTTCTTTCAGACTCCTTACTCACCATTATCAGCCTAGTTCCATGACTTTGCACTTGACGATGAGTGTGCTACTAATTACTAAAGTAATTCATGTTCTTTATTTAATATTTTTATTTATTTCAAAATAATTATAATTCATGTTTCACATTTCAGACACGGGCTTTGCACCGTATACATGAGCAAGCGACTGCCACAGTGAGTGACCCATGACATGGACACGTACGACCAGGTTCTGACGAATATTGTTTCCTTGTGTTCAGATGTGTTGGGGGAGAATGGACTATGACCATCTTATACATATGACCCATCTCAGGATTTTATGGCATCGACATCTACCGCAACAACAACTTCTACATCTCAGACTCAGCGTGACTGAGTTGTTTTTCAACCATGACAACGGCCTAGGTGTATGCGTCAACGGCCACATCTCCATGACCAAGACGATCAAGAAGATCATGAAAACTTGTAGTCTGTCTCTATTATTGAACTTATTCATGTACACCGGATGTTGTAGAAACACTTTACTTTCTTACGTATTCATTTATTTATGATGTGTTGATGTGTTTGATTATGCATATTGGATGTTTGTACTGTGTTTTTATACTGTGTTTGTGAGCAGGTGTGCTGCTATGTATCATTGTAATTCTGTTGTGTTTTTCATGTGATTTGTTATGACATGTATCTCATTTGTGAGTTTACTTATTTTGCAGGTGCAAAGGGAAAGTCGTCAAACGGTTTGACCTAGCAGTATATCGGTAATAAGTTTTAACAGGGCATTATTTCAGTAAATACTTAATTAATCCACATTAATTCGAAAAAAACAATTTGAAATTACGTGAAAATTTTTACCTACACGAATGTTTGTGCAATTTTGTTATTGTAAAGGCGTTTGATAAAATTACCAATTTGAAACGAGTAAAGAAACAATATTGGAAAAGGCGTCCTAGATTTAAAACGAATCAATTGAAATTTATTTTATTTGTTTCTCGGTAATAATCTACGCTACTTACAAACTTATGTGCCTCAAGAAAGGTCTATCTGAGTTACACGATTAAGCATCTAACCAAACATTCACCTATGTTTTCGCTTCATAATACTCTGTAAAAAAGGCTTTTGAATAATATTTGTACTTCTCTACTTTTTATAGTTTATGATATTAATTTTGTTTAACGATAAACTTGACTTATGTTTATCTTTATTATAATTTGTACATATTTATTTAGAATGTAAAAACATTAATTATGTGACAATTATTTAAAGGTAGATTCTATGGTACACATAAGGTACCATACCTTTGTGCACATGGACCAATGAAAATGTACCAGTTAAATTATTTAAATCTAATTTAAAAATGATAAAGTGATGTGGTCCAATCAAATGAATGATAGGTACGGTACCCCATTTTTTAGAAAGCTACCGGAGTTGTCACCTTATTTAAAAGGTAAGAATCACGGGAAAAAATTCAAATTCAGCAATGGAGATTCTCCTAATGAACAATTATATATAAACAATAAACAATCTAAACGATTCTTGATCAGTGCTTATACCGTGGTACCGGTGCATGGTGAGCACCATGCACCATTTGTTATTTTTTATTTCTCAATTTCTTAAAATTGTTAATAATTTTTTTATTTTTGATCCGATTTTTATAAAATTTATACCAAAATTTTTTATTTTTCATGATCTTTCAAATGAGATCAATATTGCCTATGTAATTTTATTTTTTTACATTCATACATTTTTTTGTATTATATTTTTATATGCATACACTTTTTCTATAATATATTTTTTATCACTTTTATATGTTTTAGAGGTTTTTAAGATATTGAGTTTGTTTATTTTGCTTCTAGCTTGGAGTTACATTTGATAATATACGAAGTTACATCATCTTATACTCCAGTTACAAGTTATTATGTGTGAGTTACATATTGTTATGTGTGAGTTACATCTTGCTATACACGAGTTACATACTTTTATTCGAGAGTTACATGTAATTATGTGTGAGTTACATCTTGTTATACACGAGTTACATACTTTTATGCGCGAGTTACATGTAATTATGTGTGAGTTATATCTAATTATTTGTGATTTTTTACTTATCTTTATCTTGAACTAATTCAATTATAACTGAATTAATTTTTTTTCTTTGCCAATTTAATACAAAATTTTATTAATCCACATAAAATAAGTATATTGTATTTCATATTCATACACTATTTTTCAAATGATAAAAATGAAAGATGTAACAAGGGTTTATTTCATGGTGTAACTCACATACATTAAGATGTAACTCGTGTATATTAAGATGTAACTCGCGTACAATAAGATGTAACTCGCGCATAAGAAGATGTAATTTCATGATATATTATCAAATGTAACTTCAAAATAATTTGTTAAAATTACATAAGCAATATTGGTCTCATTTGATAGATCATGAAAAATAAAAAAAATGATATAAAATTTATAAAAATCGGATATCAAATAAAAAAGTTATTACAATTTTTAACAATAAAAGAAAAAAAATAATGAATGCTACATCGTTTTGGGATCAGGCGCACCATCCTCAATAAATTGCAATTCTTGATTATGTATATAAACTATAAACAACCTAAATTCATAATCAATAAACATCTTGATTACATAATTAGAGCATTCTCTTTCATGATTCCTACATACTCAGATTTACATGATCCCTACTTTAATGAATAATCTCACATCCCCTAATTTACCTTTAACGACCATCCCGAATAATATGATATTTTGTGGGTCTATCATATATGAATAATCTTAAAACAATCCAAATTAATTAATCTCTTGATCTAATATTATTTATCAAATAATCCGCCAACCAAATAATATTTCTCACTTAAACATATTCCAAATAAATAATCATCATTGTAGATGCTACAACTCCTATAAGCTCACGAGGATGTCTTCCATCTATTTTTAGTTAATCAATTTATTAATAAAGGAAAAATCAACTTCAGAAAAATGCACAAAAGACGCAATTGCGTATGAAATGGAGCACCATGATTACAAATACGGTGGTGCCCAAAGTAATTATGTGAGAGCATTAATTATCTCTTGCTAATTGCTTAAGACACACCATTACCACCCACCAAAACCTAGCTAATTAGTTAGTAGTTTAGTATTACTACGGTACCACCCCTGCTTTATTTAGCATCTAATGTTATTTTTTAAGTTTTCGGAGCATTAACAGCTTCCCGTGTAGTTACTACAAAATTAGATAAAAGTTAAACACCATTAATGATTTGGAATATATGCAAATCATTCTGTTTCTTCTAACCATATCCCGTATGATATCATGAGTAATTCCACTTATTTATTTCGAACAGAACATTCCAAATCTCACTAAAATATAATTAGTGTTTTTCCAATTAATTTTTAATGATGTAGATGACCACTCCGTTTGCGAATTCAATGCACATGGCCAACACAAATATCATCATCCAAGCAACTAGGGCAGAGCACGGGTCGGATTCGGGCGGGTCGGGTTCAAAAATGATAAACCCGTTCTGGTATCGGATTGATGATTTCAAACCCTACCCTATCAAAAAATTTATCGGGTTTTTTCAGGTTGAAGAAATTCGGGTTGCGGTCGGATTTATTCGGGTTTCGGGTCCATTCGGATTTTAATTTATTATTGTTGAAATTGTGATAAATAAAATGGTAATTGGTAAAAATATCATTCAAAGTTATACTAGTATATCATTGATGGAGTATATGGGTCTGAGCCCCAGGACCCACATACTCGGAAGAACAGAGCACAAGACAACAGAGTGGCGCCCTCGTCGGCCGAGAAGAAGCCAACTCGGATCATGGTCCTGAGCCCAAGGAACCCGGGTGCCCTCGTCGGCCGTGCCCTCGTCGGCCGTGCCCTCGTCGGCCACGTCCTCGTCGGCCACGAAGACCTCCCAGAAACGGATTCTATACTTATTCATTTGTACAGCCCATTAGAGGCTTTGTATTCGGCCCAGTAGCGGTCCAGTTGTAAATGGGCCTCCCAAGCCCAAGGCTTGGGAGCCCAACCCTAATTTTCTCTATAAATACTCCCCTTGGGAGTAGTTATAGGGGTTACAAAATCATTCTACTGAAGCATATTATTGCACTTCTCTCTCTAGCTCTCACTTCTCTCTAGAATCTAAGAGGTATACTCTATCATTTGGTGCTCTCGTTGAGAGCTAGAACAATCAAGTTAGCACCCTTCGTCGCTACCAAGCACAGCTAACCACTGATCATGGGGAGAACTAAGTCAAACCACAACCTCGTCAGCAAAGTCATCCCTGAGGACCAAGAGCCCAGGGAGCATGATGAGGACGCAACGGCCGACCAGGTCGGCGGAGGGGACCTCTTCCAGGAGGCCTTCAACCTCACGACGGACATCCGCAACCAACTCAACGGCGGGGTCCCCGACGCCCGCCTCGGCCTGGAAAAGAAACGAGCTGAGAAAGCGGACCACGCCTCGGCCCAGCCTATGGCCGCGGCCTCTCCGTCCGTGGATCCTCAGGTCCAGGCCGCACTGTCGGCTATCATCGCCAGCTTGGCTCAGAATCCCACCGTCCTCAGCGCACTCTTGCCAAGGACTGGGGGAAACGTCACTCCACCTCCTCATCCCCAACCACTGGCCGACCAGATAGGCAATAATGAGGGGGTTGTGGCCCA